TTTATTTCTTCAGTAGTTGTGGAGTCATTCAGGAGTAGGTTTTTTAGTTTCCATGTATTTGAGTATTTTTGAGGATTTCTCTTGAAATTAAACTCAAGTTTAATTCCATCATGATCAGAGAAGATGCTGAATATGGTTTCTATGCCTTTGAATCTGTAGAGGCTTGCTTTGTGCCCTATGATGTGTTCAATCTTCGAGAAGTTTCCATGTCGAGGTGAGAAAAAAGTGTATCTATAGATGTCTGTTAAGTCCATTGGATTTATGGTATCATTTAGATCCTTTATCTCCGTACCTATTTTTTGTCTAGATGATCTGTCCAGAGGTGATAGTGCAGTGTTGAGGTCTCTAACAATTAGTGTGTTGCAATCTATCTCCCCTTTTAGATCTAACAGTCTTTCCTTCACATATTTGGGTGCTCCTGTGTTAGGTGCATAGATTTTTTTTTTTGGGGGGGAGAGGTTTATGCTATAGGGTGCATGTGCTCGCCAGCCAGACAGAGAGAGACAGAGACAGAAAGCGAGAAATCACTCCCAAAGGAGGATGGCCATGCCACAATCCCTTCTCCTCCGTTCTCCTCTCGGGATCTTCGGCACGCACGCACACGCGCCCGGCGTGAGCTAAAGCCAGCAGATCTGGGACTCGAACCACGGTCGACCATGTGGGAGTCCAGCGACATAGCCATTATGCTAACTGCTGGTCCCAGGTACATAGATATTAATAAGTGTTATATCTTCTTAATCGATCAACCCTTTTACTACAATATAGTGCCCTACTTTGTCTCTTCTAACAGTTTTTGTTTTAAAGCCTATTTTGTCAAAACTTAGTATTGCGACTCCAGCTCTTTTTTGGTTTCCATGCAAATGGAAACCAAAATCCAACCCTTCACTTTCAGTCTATGTATGTCTTTATCCATGAAGTGGGTTTCTTGTAGGCAACAGATAGAGGGTTTCTGTTTTTTAATCCATTCAGCCAGCCTCTGTCTCTTGATTGGAGAATTTAATCCATTAGCATTCATTGTTATTATCGATGTTACTGGACCTGTCTCGACGTTTAAGTTGCCTATTGTCTTAGTTGCCTTTTATTTCTTTGTTTCTGGATGTTACTTCTTTAGTTTTCCTGGAACAGTACTTTCTTCAGAGTTTCTTGAAGAGCTGGCCTAGTGTTGGCAAATTCTTTCAGGTTTTGTTTGTCTAAGAAGATTTTAATATTTTTTTTTCCCATACGAAGGATAATCTTGCAGGATATCATAATCTTGATTAAAATGATTTCTCTCTTAACACTTTCAATACATCTTCCCATTCTTTTCTTGCTTGCATTGTTTCTGTTGAGAAGTCCGGTGTTAGCCTGATGGGGTGACCTTTGTAAGTCACTTGTCGTTTCTCTCTTGCCAGTTTTAGTATCTTATTTTTATCTGTGGTCTTTGCCAGTCTGGCTAAGATGTGCCTTAGGGAAGATCTTCTTGGGTTGATTCTATTTGGAGTCCTTTGTATTTCTTGGGTCTGGATGTTTGAGTGCCTCTCTAGACTTGGGAAATTTTCTTTTAAGATTTCATGGAATAGATTCCTTTCCAATTCTGTTGTCACTGCCTTGATTGCAGCCCATATCATCTTACATCTGGACTACCCGTATGGTCTTTCTGGACTGGCTCTGTGACACAGTGGAAATGCTCTGCTCAAGAAAAGCCAAATCTGTGGCCCAATCAACCTAAAATGTGCCAGGTATTCACACACGTGTCCAGGATCCAAATGAATGAAGGGCAGTAAGAAGGGGATCACAGTGGAACCAGACCATGTGGAAGATGCTTCTCTCTCTTTCTCTTGCATGCACACACACTTTATCATAAATAAAGAAAATAAATTTTAAATAGTCTTTCCAACTTATCTGTTTCTCGAGTTTTTTCCAAAAATTTCTTGCAGCTTTGTTTTAACTGGATAACCAAGTAAGTAAAATAATCCAATTGAAGCAGAGAGCTTACGTATAATAGAAGAGTGTGGATTTCAGAGAATTTATTCCCATTCTGCCATTTGCTAGCCATATGACCTTAGGAAGTTTTTTGGTCTCTCTAAACCTCAATTTCTTCATCTGTAAAATGAGGCCAATACTACCTTCTGCTGCCAGGGCTATAAGAATCTATGGTGATTATGCATATGATAAAGGGCTCAGCACAAGGCTTGGCTCATCGGTGGTCTTTCTTTTCTATCTGCCATGTCAGTGGAGAAGTTGCCAAGGATTGTCCCACATGGTAGCTAGTTTCCACAGGAAGGTTCTCTGGAGTCTCAAGGACTTAGCAAACTTCCATCCTCAGCCTTAGCCCCTCTACCTGGGCAGCCCAACTCACATCTCATGTCTATAGCTCCTGCTCCTGCCCTCATTTCCATTCTGGCAAAATTGAACAATGGCCCTTTTCTCTGCCTTCTCTGCCTCATGCTCAGCCTTTTCACATACTGGGAGCATGAAGAATCCCTGCCCCTTGCCAGCCCATCATGTCTCTCCTTCTTCTCACTCAAGCTGATCCTGACATTAAAAAAAAAAAAAAAAGAAGCCACTTTTTTAGTTTGTTTGTTTGTTTATTTCCATGAGTGAGGCAGAGAAAAAGAAGAGACAAACATCTCAGTAGGGTCTGCATACCACAATCCAACTCCAGCTTCAGCCAGCCCTTGGTCACTCACACACCTGGCACATTCAGAGAGGTCTCCAGACCCAAACCTGGGTCAACCTCGGAAAGCATTGTATTGCTGCTGCGCCACTGTCCTACCTCCTGATCCCTGACTCTTGGCTCTTTGGAGAAACTTTCTTGGGTTATGAGGTTCTCTTCCTAATCTTGTCCCACCCACAGATACACTTAACCCTTAGCTCCCGAAAACTTACTGAAAGGACTAGGTTGAACTGCATTAAATGTTCAGGGACACAGTTCAAGAAGACTGCTATAGTTTTTTTAAAAAAATTATTTATTAACATCATAATCTTGTTTATTTTACATTGAATCACATATAACATTACAGTGTATTATATTTCTTTTTCCAGAAGGAATACCATGCATATTGGTCAATACAGAGACATTAAAATCTCCATTTCATCATCCAATATCTTTACAGTTTTCATGTGCTATAAACAGACTGTGCTGAGGCTGGGAGGCATGGATGCTTGTTGGCAGCAGGGCTGTTTTCCAGATCACTCCCTGATGATTTGAAGAAGGAAAAGAAGTTGGGAAACTAATATGTATTGAGTGCCTGGAGAGGTTTTTGCCTTAGGTTGTGTGCACTTGCCAGAGAGATAGATACAGAGACAGTGAAAGAAAAAGTGAAGAATCACCCCCTAGGGGGGATGGCTATGCTGGGTACCTGGCCTCATGTAACCAACCTTCCTAAATTGTGTCACTAATTGTCACAACCACTTTTTGAGGTGGTGATGTTGAAGTTGTCCATAGTGTCCCTGTTTCCCTGTGAGCTCTGTGAGGCTTTGAAATACAAAGTCTTTGACTTTGTGTTTGCTAAAACACAGGCTCTGTGTTCAAGAAACACGCACTGAATTGAGTTGCTGACACCATTGCATTGAGGCAGCATAGCTTAGGCAAATAAGCCCAGGATTTGGGCGTGTCACTGCCTGTGTGGCTGTGGGAGAACTATTTGGTTGTCAGAAAAGCCATGATGGGGACCAGCAGTTAGTGTAATGGCTATGTTGCTGGACTCCCATGTAGTCGACTGCAGTTCGAGTCCTGGACCCTTCGGCTTAAACGCACACCGGGCACATGTGCGTGCATGCCCAAGATCCCGAGAGGAGAATGGAGGAGAAGGGATTGTGGCGTGGCCATCGCCCTGGGGGTGATTTCTCGCTTTCTATATCTCTGTCTTTCTGGCGAGCACATGCACCCTATAGCAAAAACCTCTCCAAAAAAAAAAAAAGAAAGAAAGAAAAGCCATGATGCATTTTTGTATAGAAAAACATAGAAAAATATGTCATGACCTTTCTGACGATCCAATATTTTATCTTTTCTTTTTTTTGAGCTTCAGTTTTTTCATGTGTAAATTGAAAATAATGATGACATCTATATCCCAGGAGGTCATGAGCATGTCCAGGTAAATCCAAAGTGCTGACCGAATTAGTGGGGAAGGGAGCTGCATTGCATGAACTCCAAGCCAGATTTTTAGTTGTCCAGTGGTTGGTTGTCTAGATTTGTAGTTTCCAAGTGCAAATTGGTGCTCATCCTTCACAAAGTTTTCATTCATTTTTCTGAGTTAAAAAAAGAGAAAAATGATGATGTAGATTTTTGTAAAGCCAAATTTGTCCAGTTTGCATGTATGGCTTTTTTCTTTTTTTAGAGGTTTTTGTCTCAGGTGCCTCTGTGTGTGCACTTGCCAGAGAGAGAGAGAGAGAAAGAGACAATGAGAGGGCAAGTGAAGAATCACCCTCCATGAGGGATGGCCATGCTGCAATCCCTTCTCTTTCATTCTGGGATCCTGGCCATGCACACACACACACAACACCCTGCATGAGTTTCAAGCCATGGAGTCTGGGACTCGAACCACTGTCGACCATATGAGAGTTCAGTGCTGTAACTGCTACGCCATCTTCTGGCACCGTGTATAGCTTAAAAAAAAAAAAAAAAAGACATCTTACTGTGTCTTGATCCTCTTGCTTCAGCCTTCCACACTGCGTGGCTACAGGTCCATGCCAATGTATCCAGCTTTTTAGGGTGACCAATTTATAAAATTCTAAAACTGTCATTCCAATATTTTTGTGTGAAAATATCTTTTTAGGAGAGCTAGCAGGTGGTGTAGTGACTATGATGCTAGACTCACAGATGGTCAACCTGTGGTTCAAGTTCCAGACCTGGTGCTCTGGAAATCATGCCATGCACATGTGAATATGTGCCCCAAATCCGGAGAGGAGACCAGAGAAGGAATTGCAGCATGGCCATCCTCCCTGGAGGTGATTTCTCACTTTCTCTCTCTCTGTGTCTCTTTAGTGAGTGCATGTGCCCTACAAAAAAAAAAAATGTTGTACTCGTTTTGGCAGCACATACACTAAAATTGGAACACTACAGAGAAGATTAGCATGGCCCCTGTGCAAGGATGACACGCAAACTTATGAAGCACTCCATATTTTTCAGCAGATGGCATAATGGTTGTCGCTGAACTTCCACATAGTCGACCACAGTTTGAGTCCTGGATCCAACAGCTTAAAACTCATGCCAGTCACATGTGCATGCAAGCCCAAGATCTTGAGAGGAGAATGGATTGTGGCATGGCCATCCTCCCGGGGGGGGGGTGATTCTCACTTTCTGTCACTCTCTGTCTCTATGTCTCTTTCTGTCTGTCTGGCTTTCTCTCTGGCGAACACAAGCACCCTATAACAAAAAATCTCTTTAAATTAAAAAAAAAATTCCTTTTAGGGACCAACAGGTATCATGGTGGTTAAGGCACTGGACTACACATGGCTGACCATATTTCAAGTCCTGGACCTAGTGGCTTGCTTTCACTTTCCCTTTTTCTCTCTCTCTGGTTAAATAAAAAATAATAATATCAAGTAAAATAAAATAACTCTTTTTAAAAAAGAAAATCACTCTGGGCATGCGTGTATATCCAAAATCCTGAGAGAAGAACGGAGGAGAAGGGATTGCAGTGTGGCCATCCCCCCTGGGGAGTGAGTTCTCACTTTCCCTCTCTCTGTCTCTCTCTGTCTTACTCTCTGGTGAACACACATACCGTGTGACAAAAACCTAAAAGCAAACAAACAAACAAAAGTCCTTTTATTCATGACATCTTGATTTTAGTAAATGGCATTTAAAAAAAAAATTACCCTTGCTTGATCAAATAAAATGTTGGCATTGCTATGTCAGAGGCTCCAGCATCAGAGGTAGTCCAGAGTGCTGAGAGAGAGGGACCTGGGCCAGCATGGCTAAGAAGGACTTTGAATGGGCTTTCTGGAGGAGAGGAGGTCTGGGAAGAGTTAGGCAACAAAGGGTGGGGAAAACACAACCCAGGAATGCATGGGCACCACCCAGCACTGTGGCCACAGATGGCAGCTATGGAGTGTTGGGGTGGGGAGTGAGTTGCTTTGCCCCAAACCCTGTCTGGCTCACAGATAGGAATGAAAAACTCCAGACACTTGCACTAGACAGTAACGGAGCTCCCCCACTCCAACCCAAAGGGTACTGCTCCTTGCAGTCTGCCTGGGCTTTTTTTTTTTTTTTTTTTTTTTTTTGCCACGCTCCACCCCAAATCCCTACTAACTTTGTCTATGTTCCACTTCCTCTACTTCCCAGGCAGCTGCTTCTGTCCTGGCAGCATCATTAAAGCAAGAATCACTCAACCCACTGTGTGGGGAATGCAACAAGCCAAGAGCCCAAACACACAGGCTCGTCAGAAACTCAAAATACTCCCTCCTTCCCTGTACCAAGCCACACACAGAAAGTCAGAGGAGGTGGAGGTGAAACTGGTTCCTTTCTCCAGGATGCCACATGGCCAGCCTGGCAGTGAAGTAGGGTCCTTCTTTGTGATCTCTAGCCTCTCCAGACCACAGCACTGCCTGCAGGCAATATCAGAAACCCCCAGGCTGCCAGGAGGGTCAGACCAGTCCTCAGGGGCAGAAAGTGCAACTACCTGAACATGCGCTTTTGCATTCTAAGTGGTGGGTCTGGATTATCCATTTCTCAGATGTCTCCAGACCTCTGTTCCATCCATCAGAGTATTTTTTCCACCTGGAATCTTTTGGCCAGTGGGTACAGCCACAAGTTTGTCAAGCCAGGGGCACATGCCAAGTGCCTGCCAGCTGCCCATCTGGCTTAGGTAAGAGGCAAAGGATACCTTCCGGAAGAGAGAGCCCACGGGGATAGGGGCAGAAGGCAAGACTAAGGCGCTGCAGTTGCTGTCTCAGTGCCTAGCCTGATGACCCAAGCTTGGCCAACAATTATTTGCAGGCATTCCTCATTCCCTGTTTAGGGCAGGTTGCCATGGTATTTTGCCTGCTGGTGCTATGGGACTGGAAAAAAAAAAGCAGAAGAGTGAGCCTGAGGGTGCCGGACTGGGGGAATGGTTAATAATAGGAGACCTGGACTTTTTACCCCAGCTGGAGTTTGAGTCAGCAGCAGGGTGCTGTGGCTGCTACAGGGAGAAGCCCTTATGCCCTAATGCCCTCAGAGATTCCTGCCACTGTATGTGCCCGGAAGTGGCACATGCCTTATAGGCTTCCCAAGGGCCTGGGGTATCATCAGTGCCTGGGTTCTGCTACCACTTATGACACAGTGGGTCTTTCTTATGGCTTATAAACTCTCCCAAGCCCTGTGGCCAGATTTGGACAGCTCCGTTTGTCATTCCTATACTGAGCTAACAAGTCATTTTTGGGAATGGTAGTTAACTACACCCTTCTGATTTTTGGTACATCTTGACACTGAGTAGCAGCATGTAGCTGGGGTGGAGAAAAGGGTTAATGCTCATTTTGACAGAAATATTGAAGTGAAGTCCAAACTCCTGGATTTGACATTCAAAGACTTCAGCAATTAAGCTGTTGTAATGCTCAGCATTCCAGTTCCGCATATTTGGGCCCAAACATACACTTCCAAATACCTTTGCACCTGGCATCATGTTGAAAAACTATATGTAGGGAACCAGCAGTTAGCGTAATGGCTATGTCGCTGGACTCCCATGTAGTCGACCGCAGTTCACGTCCTGGACCCGGTGGCTTAAAACCCACGCCGGGTGCGTGTGCGTGCGTGCCCAAGATCCCGAGAGGAGAATGGAGGAGAAGGGATTGTGGCGTGACCATCCCCCCTGGGGGGTGATTTCTCGCTTTCTGTCTCTATGTCTCTCTCTGTCTGTCTGGCGAGCACATGCGCCCTATAGCGAAAACCTCTCCAAAAAAAAAAAAAGAAAAGAAAAACTATATGTAGATAGTGGATAGAATGTTTACATTTGTATATTTGGCATCTGCTGGACAATTTCCAACTTTATGTATCTAAATATATTTGCATGATCAATATTGGATTTATTAATTGCTATCTCTGTGGTCATATGTACAAGCTTTGCTTGCACTAACAGGCTAGGCAAACTAATCAGTTCTCAATAACAGTTTAGACATAAAGCTCTGCTATAAAAAATAGGTTGAGGAAAATTAATCTGGGTTATTGTAAATTATGAGTGTAAAAAAAGAGGCTTCATTCATACAAGGGAACACAGCTATATACAGAAAGTATGTATACAGGGAAGGATAAAGATGAAGGTTTAGGACCAATATGCCATGTACCATAAGAAGTGAGGAGGGCCAGCTCATGGCCTGATGGCTAAGGTGGCTGGATCTCATATGGCCAACTGTGAGGTTAGAGTCACAGACCCAGAGGCTTGAAAATACATGTAGGTGCATGTGCATGCTTGTGCAAAATCCTGAAAGGAGGGAGAAATGGAGACGGGGTTGCCACACACCCCATGGGGAGGTGCTTTCTCACTTTCTCTCTTCTCTCTGTCTCTCTCCAGTGAGTGTGCATGCCCTCTGGCAAATGGAAAAAAAAGTGAGGATATAGAAACATCACATTAGAATATATGTGTACTACCAATTAGATACAGATGTAGTCTAGCCAGGATGTAGAGTTTTCATGGCATTTGTAAAGAATTTGTTCCTATTTTATCCTGTTTTATGTTGATCTGCAAAAATCATTTCTGACATTTTGTTTTGACTATCTTTTTTTGTTTTACACTATGTATTAGAATATTTTAGAAGCATATTTATTTCTTCTATGAGCAAGAAAGAGAGGCAGAGAGAGCAAGCACCTTCAACAGGATCTCAATGCTGCCATTTACCCTTAGCCTCAGTCAACCCTGGATCATGGGCACATGCATGCTCAGGATGGTCTCCAGACATGAATCCAGAACTTTCCCATGTGGGTCAGCCTTGTAGAGCTTTGCATTGTTTTTTTACAATTTATTTATTTATGTATGTATTTATTCATTCTAATTTGATCAAAGAGGGAGAGAGAGAGAGAGAAAGCCATCAGGTCCAGGACTCGAACCTCAGTCGGCCATGTGGGCGTTCAGCGCCCTTAACCACCATGCCACCTGCCAGCCCTGAGCACTGCATTTTACCAGTGCACCACCATGTGGTCCTTAGGCACTAGAATTTTTTTTTTAATTTTCTCCTATGTATTTTTCTAGAATTGTCATAGTTTTTTGTTTTACATTTCAGTCTGTGATAGATTTTTGTTAATTTTTGTCAGGGTATTTGGTCTGTGATTTTGTTTGTTTTTGCTTTTTGCAAACAGATGATCAGTTGTACTAGCACCATTTTTTTTGAAAAGGTTGTCCTTTTTTATTTTTAATTTTATTTTACATTTAATCACATTTATCTTTAAAGTGTACAATATTGCTTTTTCCAGCATGAATACCATGCATGTCAATCAAGATAAAGACATTACTATATACATTATCGTCAGCAAATAGCTTTTCTTTTTTTTGGTGGGGGGGTCAATTAAACGTACTATTTTTCCCGTTTCCCTCCCTCTCTCTATTATCCACCTCCATATTACCCCTATCCTTACTTTCTCTAGTATCTACCCTTGCCCTCCCTGATTCTATACCTTTCAAACTTTCAGGTTCTGTTATTTAGTGCAGACAATCAGCATATATTTAGTGGGGACATACAAAGTCTGTCTTTCATAGTCTGGCTTACTTCACTTAGCATTAAGTCCTGCATATTCATTCACTTTGTATCAGATGTCAGGATCTCATAGAGTACATATGCCATAGAGTACATATGCCACATTTTTTCAATCTAATCGTCTATTTTTGGACATTTGGGTTGATTCCATGTCCTAGCAATTGTAAATAATGCTGCAGTAAGCATGGATGTGCAAGTATTTTTCAGACAGAGGGTTTTTCTATCCTTTGAGTAAATACCTAAGAGTGGAACTACTGGGTCGTATTGTATTTCTATTTGTAGATTTCTGAGAAATCTCCATATCATTCTCTATAGTGGTTGTACTGATTTACATTCCCACCAACAGTGTAAGAGAGTTCCCTTTTCACCACAGCCTTGCCAGCAATTATCATTATTTATTTATTTAATTTTAACCATTCTGACTGGGGTTAAGTGTTATCTTACTGTGATTTTGATTTGCAT